AGGTTAACAAAACAAAACTGTGCAATGTTTAAACTGTTCAGTTTTTATGGTTGTGTTTCTGCATATCTTAACCATGCAGTAAATATGCAGTAAATATGCAGTAATTTTTAACCCAAACAGTGCGATTGGCCTTTTCACTCAAACAGTAAAAAATAAAATAGACAATATGGGACCTTATAATGCTGAACCCACTGCAGATCTTTACAGTGGATTCACAAAGAACGCTTAAATGAATGAGTTTCAGAAACATGGCTGGTGGTTCACTTGTGTTACTGCAGTCGTATGACCTCACAGTAAAGCTCGTTTCATACAACAGAGAGAGTCTGCTGATAAAGTGGACTTTCTCTTCACTCTTCTGTCACAACACTGTCTTATTTCCACTGTATGTCTTGCCGTACTGTAACATTTGCGATTCATAAAACCTCCGTTTGGATGATTCATAACTCAATTCTTCATGTTCCAGTCCACAGGCTCAGGCTGCACAGCAAGATTTATACGATGCCGTGGAGTCTTTAACGTTTCTCCCTGAAGATGAATGTGAGGTTACTGGCTCCCCCACACTGTTTCAAAAGTTTCCCAGATGACTACATGGCAGAGGTACTGCTGACAATTTGTACTATTTTGACTTTAACCAAGGAAATGGTTTCAGCTGAACTCAACCACATAAATCTCAAACACTGATCAAATCCAACAGTTCACTCAGCAGCCATGTTTGTGTTGCTAAACTGTGTTTCTCTCGTGTTTATTTTAATGGAGGGTGAGCTAAAGTGCTATAACCTTACTTCAGGTCGGGTGATTTCACATGGAGCAGTCATTCATCAGCCAGGTTGTGGTGCAGCCCTCCAAGGCAGCAATGGGATCCATTGGGTTAACCAACCTGGACAGTGCTAATGTGGGCGGGAGATTGTTTCCATATGAGTTCAAACAGAGTCACTTTGACTGGGTCTAAAAACCAGCTTCGTTTCATAGTTTGACCACTTCAAGCAGGCGATGTGAAACAACTTTCGCACTACCAGTCATAAACAAAACAGTCGACCTTTGACCTTAGCGTATAAATCATGGGCAGGTAGCTAAAAATGTTCATAATGTTAAGCTTTTAACTACCTAACCCTTTACTTTCAAAGCTGAATAATACATTAAGAAAAATAATATAAAATTATGACAGCCATAATATAAAAATATTGATTTAAGGAACACAAGTAGCAAAATAAAGCAAGCAGAGAAATTAAATTATAAAACTTAATCAGATGTTTTTACAGAAACATCCCAGACTGAGCTAAATAAGAATTAAGATACTTTGTATGAAATTAATTATTAATAGAAAAGCAAATAACTCCGTCACAGTCATTTCAACACGTTACAGCTAAACTTTAGTCAAACTGGAATCACAGTAAGTGCCATTGGGGTATACCTTTATCTCCAAAACCTGTTAAAATCATTTGAGTTATTCTGGATTCTTTTGTCCAGATGTGTATTTTATGCACCTGTAAGACTTTAAAGCTGCATGGCCTCTCAGGCTGAGAGAAAAGAAACCTCTGCAGTACAAATGTGGAGCCATTTCAAGTAACACTGAATGTTCCCGACACCTAACATTAACAGTAAAATGCACCATCTATTATCTCTTTAAATAAAGTCAAGTACTCTCCCTCTTGTATCTGCATAATATGGCAAAGGCAGCATAAAGAAATGTGCTTTTATATCTTTGTAGTCTTTAGTTTGAAGGGTTTTTTGTACTTGTCAGAATAAGAGACTCATTCTCTGAACAGTAACAATTGCCTTTCATAAAGCTTTTCCTTTTTTCCTTTCCTCAAACACTTTTGTCACTTCCCACTCCTTCAGTCCTGAAATGAGCCTCTATCTGCCCAACTTCTGTCACAGCACACTCTGTGACCTCTCTGCTTTCTTTACTTGAAACAGCCAGCCTCTGTGGCGTGGAGGCCTACAACTATACGCCTGGCTGCGCGGGACTGACCCTTGCAGCGGGCGGCCACAGCAAAGACGACGTTTCACAGCTACAAAGCGCCTGCAGCGTTTCTGGAATCGCTTCACAGGGCGACAGCTGATGGTGTGGGAGCTTCAACTGGAGGATGCAACCAGAGGTCCGACTTCATACGGTGCTTTGTCCCAGGTGTGCATCGTTTCACAGACATAATGCCTTCTATTATTTTCCATTTCTCTTACGTGCATCCGTAGTGAATAAGCGCTTGATGTAAGTGTAGCAAAGAGCAGATACTGGAGTAAACAGGCTGTTGATGGAGAAATGTCAACCATGTACAATCAACAGAGGAAAGCACAGGAATATAGCCAACTTTACACACTTCAAATAAATTCATTGTTATTTAGATCTTAGATTCTTAGTGCCATATTCATAGTGATGGAGTGACAGGCAGTCAGCAGCAGATTACCATAACTTGACTGCTGGGGTTTGTTTTTACTACTAATTGAAGGATAATTTGAGAACATAATTTGCTATATTTCTCTCATTGTCAAAAAATCCTTTAAAACAATCTCCAAGTGGCAGTAAAAGTGATTGCTGTTATTAGTCTAAGGAGCTGCTGTGGCTCACTGATGTGCTTTCAATAGTTTTTAGACAAGAATAGAACTCTAACCACAGTGAAATGACATAAATGTGGCGTTAGACACAGCGCCGATACTTTGCAGAAGGATCGATTCATCGCTTTTGGACCTTTAATGGAATTTGTGGAGGATAAAAGGGCCCAAAATAAAAATAAAAAAAAGACCTAACCTCTTTGAGAAAGACAATTTGACTAAGTTAATGCAAAAGAACAAATATTTTACCAGTACAATTTTCAGCAGGAGGTGTGTAAAACAAATAAATGACTCAACAGACATCCAATTTCAATGCTTTATGCCAGAGCAGTAAAAATGACAACTGCTGGGCTCCTGTTATATTTAAATTTTACATGCGACTTACAAAGCCATGTTCTCCTGTGCAGCTGCGCTGATTGCTAACTGAGAAAATTGTCGTTCAATATTTCCAATCTTTGTTGAGCAGCTGAAAACACTGCGATTTGTGATTACAGTCATTGTTGTAATATTGATTCACGTGCAGCAGCAGCAGCAGTTTCACTCCTATGGAACCGCGGTCTGAAATACAGTTCTCAACAAAGGGCAAACAGTTACTGACAAAGCAATTTTCCACTCAAGGTCTCCATAATGCATTAAGTAAGGTTTAACTCAACCCAATAGATCACGAGCTGGAAACCAAACTATATATTCACCGGCTGGATGTCTCCCATATGACAAGGCTGTAATTAGGCCTATAAATAAAGAGCCTGAACAACACTGTATGCATAGTCATGTAAGAAACATATATTAGGAAAAACAGAAGCTCCTATGAACCAACCGACTTCTGCTGAACTGCTTTGTTTTCTTTCAGAGTCTTTAGAAAATGGAAACATTGTTATGAGTTACATTAAGTGAACTTACAGGTCAAACACGTCGCAAACGCCAATTTTAACAGTTTTTCTTTGGCTCTTTACTCCCAACACAACAGATTACAGACAGAACTACACTACAGGATATAGACCTGACCTTGTGCTAAAGCTGCTCTTATCCTCTTACTGTATACATCGAATGAAACTTCTGTTGTGACAGCGCTGCTGACAACAATAGATCATAATGAATGTTTGCCA